TATTCATAACCCCGTTCACAAAGGTCCGGTCGTTTTAACACAATACCCTGGTTTAACGTCTACAGAAAATACATCTCAAAAGGTGTCTTAAAAGGTGATTTTCACTTCACCGAATTTAAAAAGCCTGGGTGTTAGGAATATCAGTCACGGTTGACTAGTCTTCGAGCGCCTTCGTTCATTCGACCGTCTCATTTTAGAAGGTTTAAAATTTATTGTCGTAAAATGAGTATTATATAGCGTATACCACACGCTGTGTGTCGTTTTATAGCTGGTTTTAATATTCACAGCTTTGCTTGCTTTATGATAAAATATATATAAATAAAAAACAGATCATGGCGGATCTGATTTTTAGACCATGAACAGAGAAGAGAAAACGAAAAAATGCAATGAAATTAAATGGGGTATAACGTCCTACTGTTCTGCTCCGAATGCACTAATAAAAATGGACATACGTCATACAGTGTGCTATAAGGGAAATTTTGTCTACTCTTGTATACGAATTCTAACTACCAAGGGATCTTTTACACGTATGCCTATGTATACACGGGACCTCGGTTTTTCGTCCCATACGAACGTTTAGACAGCTGTCCTTATCAGGCCCTCTGTCCTGCACCACTGACAAGGGGTAACCACGTCGGAATATCCCGATGAACTTTCTCGGCCAGTGCAGGGATAAAAGACGTGAACAACCGTCTTACCCACTTAGCCAGCGTGGCTCCCTTAGGAAAAAAGAAAGTCTCGTCAACACAATACTGCAGTCATTTTGAAATTTGTGCTGCCTGTTGACATAAAGTTGATTGACCGACACTTTAATTTCTGAATTGACATTATTAGTCAATGTCAATACTTCTTCAATTGCGAACACAATGCTGGCTGTGCATGCATCTTAAGCACTCGGGGATAACCACATCTTTGACGCTTTTTTTGCTAAATTACGTAATAAAAAAAGAGGGAGAGCATTGAATTAATCGGTATTATATTAGTCTCCGTGGGCGCCACCCAACACAAATCCAGAAGTGGGGAGGTGTAACAGGCGCCATCCAACACAAATCCCGAAGTGGGGGAGGTGTAACAGGCGCCATCCAATAAAATCCCGAAGTGGGGGAGGTGTAACAGGCGCCATCCAACACAAATCCCGAAGTGCGGGGGGAGGCGTAACAGGCACCATCCAACACAAATCCCGAAGAAGGGGGTGGGGCATAATTATTAATGAGTGGGTGTTATGTTATGGCCTCCACAGGCGCCACCCAGGACAATTCCCGAATGTTCTTCTCTACCCACGTCGGGATTCGAACTCGTGACTTTATAGGCCAGTGGCCTGCTTCACGAAATTTTAACTAAGATAAAATCCAAATTTTAGTAATTTGATTGGATAATATTAGGTTGATTTTAATGCTTAGCCAATCAAAATTCAAGTATCTACTAAAATTTGGATTTTATCTTTAGTTAAGATTTCGAGAAACAGGGCCCAGTGCTATACCCCGGAACTACAGCAACTAAATGCGGAACTCGATGAAGGCGTAAAAGAACTCTTCACAGTTGATATTTGAAATACGTGTAGGCCGTAGTATCGCTGCCCGGGCAAAATTTCACTCATATTCCGTTGTATGGCGTATGCCTTTTTTCATTAGCCCAATCGGAGCAGAGCAGTAGGACGTTAAACCCTATTTCAATTCATTTCGATGGAGGCGTGATGAATTGTGATCCTTCTTGGACGTTACGCCCAACTTCATATCATTTCATTCCATAATCCTACTTCGTAAAGAATTCCCATCAGTAGTCTCCAACATCCAGACAGTCAACATAATGTCTAATCAGTGTGAACAGGGGTTTTATTCTAGTTCTCATAATACCCCCATTCTCCTTAAAATATATTTAACATGGGAATATAAAAGACTGGCGCTTATTGGACAATGGAGCCTTTTATTACTCATGAATAAACATGAGGAATTATAGACAGTGTGGGCGGGGCTCGTTGAAATAAAGGGTTTCCTGTGTTGACGGCGGTGATTTCCCGGACCCTAATTATACCGCCGGTGACCCTTTAACCAGGAGCGCGATGACCAGCGGTCAGCTTCAATAAACTGTAATGGACATTCGGACCTGCAAATGGCCAGTGTGTGCTCACCTAAGTCAAATAATTGACCAAAGGTAATGAGATTTTTGAAAAGGTTTATCAAAATTTATCTGCATCAATTTGTCGAAGCGTGTCAGTATAATGAATGATAGCCTGGACCTGTAGAGATTACCGTTCCAGTAATTGATATCAATATGGACAAATCGTCTTCCGCGGATCCTTTTATTCTATTTACTAAATTGGCGAGGGATTCCGCTTCCCTAGTCCCAAATCAGACTGGATAAACTGTTACAAATGACGTCACGCTTGTCTGACGTATTACACAGTATGAAATTGCAGATTACGTGAATCCGTCCATTGTGCCGTTTATAGTTGACAGTTTTCCACGACGAGAATATCTAAAAATATTTATCTTTTTTTTTTATTTTCGACCCATATGATACAAATGGTTCATACCATTTCCCTACAATAATAAGCAACTTTGTTTAATTTCAAAAATGAAAAATAAAACAAATATCTACAGATTTAACTAATTTAAAAATATTTCCCAGATTTACCCCCCCCCCCCCCCAATCCCTCCACACACACACACTCACCCCTACCAAACACTACAAAAATATAATATTATAAATAAAACCAGTGTCAAAATCCATATAAAAGATATAAATAGCCCTATGTATTCATACGACAAACTACCCGACATGTCAAAATATATCATATTATGACACTTTCATACACGTTTGGTTGTAAACAAGGCCATCTTCTTTAGGTCTGTATCTACCTCAGTCTCCGGTTTCTGCCTCCTTCATTTTATATTTTTTTTACGAAGGGACATATGTTGATTCCCAGTCTCAAGTGGTTATTAATTTTGGCACGGTATGCACGCACAATAAAAAATAAAAATACATGTAGTGCGACCGTGCGGGTTTTAACAACTCTTCTTTCGCGCATGCATCGGTGAAGAAGACATACACGTGCATACATGGTTATTATTTCGCGCCATTATTTTTGATGAAATAAAATCTTTATCATGTCACGGATTAATTTCTCTTTGATTTTAAATCTGCGCGTGAGTTTGATGAACGAGGCGGAATGAAATTTTGACAACTTGAAATGAATTGAAATATTTTATGATTATTAAATGAGTGATTAGGACACGTGACTTTAAAGCGCGTGTAGAATGAACACGTGATGCCTCGTAGTCGATTCCTCTTTTGATATTTCAAAAGAGAGAGAAAGAGAGAAATGGGGTTTAACGTCCACTCGACACAAATTAGGTCATTTCGGGACTAACATATGGTTTAATTTTATTTCAATAATTCGCTTGCGCGTAGGGGTCTTTAGTAGTGGGAGGAAACCGGAGGACCCGGAGAAAACCCACGAGGTTGGACAGGCGACCTTACTCCTTGTCACGTACAACCGGGGATTCGAAACCACGCCAGTTGACTCAATGACAGACATTATGGTACAGCGCGCACGTGCTAACCATTCAGCCCCCTCCCCCATATTTCAAAAGACAGAACGACAAAAAATATACTTTGATAATTTGAAAAAGAACGTCAAATAATTAAAAATTGAAATGTATGCAACCATATTAGCTTGTGTTAAAATTAATATCCCCCACCCCCTCACGCCCACCCCTGATTTTCATAAACAGTATAGCGAACCTATATATTTGGGGCCTTTCCCAAATAGCAACGATGTCTGCGGAGTAACCACTTTTACCTTCTTCAATGTTCCTTGACAGAAGGAGACAAACGAAATTAATACAAATATTCAAATATACCCATAGTATTACAAAACTCTACACTCGTTCGATTAAATAAAAAATTGATTCCAACTTCCTGGGATATTGACAGAACACACAACTAAAATGCTGTTGCAATTCGCCCCCCTAAACGCCCATATTCTAGAGTAACCTGCTGCATCACGACTACAGTATACACCCAGTCGGGTTCAGGGGCGTATAGTGACCCGTGATTTTACATGAGGACCAAGAACCCATCCGACCTTCCCAAAAAGCAATATTTATATATATGTGTGCAGGAGAGGGGGTGTTCCTTCCAGTTCCGCCGGGTAATATTGGGCTGTGTAGAACATGCTAGAATGTATTTGTAGCATATCTGAACCACAATATATGTTCGACACTGGTTAAGCATAATGATTATGATTATAATGTTGAAAACTGCATTGAAACCGCGTGACTTTTTTGCCATTTGCGAGAGGACATAAAAAAGGAAGGGGCCGCAAGAACTGAAAACCATGAAGCAAAGCTCGTCATTGCGTCCTTCTCACTTAGCTGCGTGTTGGGCTATTAGGACTCAAGTCGCTCGTGGACCTGCCATTCGTTTCATAGTTGATCCGTCCCTACGCATGCATACTTTTCAAACAAAATGTCAATTTCCATACCTCTTCAAAAACATAGAGCGATGGATTAAGGATTTCAAATTCTACACAGATATCTGAGATAATTTAGAAAACTCTAGAAGAATATGTTCTTGGTTTATGAAAATAAAAACAAAACAAAAACAATGTTTCACGAGTAATTTCTCACTTTTCGTTTCTTCGTGTTCTTTTACACTGCAAAGTATTCGTATCGTGCATAATAAACTACTGCTTTCTCCTACTATAACTGTCATAGGTATTATAACATGTCGCTAATTTACGAGGGGTCAAAACTCACAAGTGACCAATCAAATTCTATCAAGGGGCCACTTTAGGGAGTTACGTTAACAAAGCCCCTTCCTAATCTGTTGACCCCTCAGTGACCAATAAAACAATTAATCCAATCACGTGCTCGATAAGTAAGGGATTAATTAGGAATAGACCTGACACCCCCTTTTTAAAAGCGAATGGACTGTTCCATTTGAGTGATAGTGGGTTTACGGTTAACAAGCCTATCGACTGGATCAGTTGAAACGAACGGGGCTGGGAGTAACAAGGTAGCGTGTGTGTCACTTTCTACAGTAGCAGCCACAGAAAAAAACTATCTTTTAAAACGGAATACACGTGCTCCACGGAAGACAACACTTTTTACTTAAAATAGTACGGATTATTTATTTTTTTCAAGTGACAGATTCCGAAAAGGATTTTACGGCATTGATTCTAATTTTGTTGCGAAAGCGTGACAGAGAAAAATTAAAAGCGAGATCGAGAAGTGAAAATAGACATTTCAATGTTTTTCTTAGTGACAGCGACATGCATTGAGCGGAGAGAAAACGAGTCATGTGTTTCAGTGACTATCTAACGGATTTATCTGTCTTTAACAGGAATTACAATCATATTGGATTAATTAAGAGCGAGATATATCTTAAGTGTGGTATATTAACTGTGCGTTATTGTTGATATACCATGGTATGGTTTATAAAGTGTGAGTTATTGTGATTGACAAGTGGTATATATATAATAATATGAGGATATATGATGTATGCTATAGTTTATATATCGCTGGTGGGCTGTCTAATTGGATTAACCTTACTATCAGGTAAGTACTTATATATATAAGTTAATTACACTTTTAGGGCAATGTTTATCACACCTTAATATTCACCGTATATCACAAATATCCAACCCAACTCAAACCAGTATCTATATTATTATAACCGTTAGAGCTCATATTGTTTGAAACACGTTTATATATATTTCAAACATAAATCTTTATATCTTTTTCTGTGGAATAAATTGGGTAATAGACACAAATATATATATATTAAAATAATTACTTTGTATGGCATTATTCCCAATGTCTCAATTATTCAATATACATTGAATATATTTATTAGATATTACATGTATTATACAACAAATATGCACCTAAGATATGATACTAAAACATCTCAATATACATGTGCACCTAATATAGGATACTAAAACATGTCAATATACATAATAATTAAATATACACAGAGTTTATTATACTGCAATCCTCAATGAATATATAATGTACATAATATTTAATATTATGCAAATATCCACATAGTATCACACTAAAATATCTCAATATACAAAGAATACATGAAATTCAATATTATTATTCAGAAACATGTATACACATATACTACATAATATTATAAAAAAAAACATATCCCAATATGCATAAAATATATAATAATCATTGACATTGTTATGCAAATATACACAAATTTATCATACTAATTAAATACCAGTTCAATACTAAAAGAGTTCATTTACCAATATACAAACTAAATTACAGATGCATATATTAAATACATGTAGCACAATCATGATGGTAGTATAAAATATACAATATTTATATCATAATGGTAGGATGAAATATACAATATTTATATCATGATGGTAGTATAAAATATACAATATTTATATCTTGATGGTGGTATGAAATATACAATATTATATCATGATGGTAGTATGAAATATACAATATTATATCATGATGGTAGTATGAAATATACAATATTATATCATGATGGAAGTATGAAATATATAATATTTATATCATGATAGTAGTATGAAATACACAATATTAATTGAAATACATTGCCACCAAGTATATGAAATATACTGTTTAAACAGCTTTTAGTAATTAAACACATTAAAAGAAACTCAACTTTTCTGTAGAAAACAATTACTTTATTTTAATTGGAGCTACATTTCTACGATGATTCTCTTGTCAGTTTTTAAAAATATGAAACATAATTTTATAATTTTAAAGTTAGCAGCGTATTTGTAATAGATATCATGAATTTTAAAGAACATCACATCATAAAAATAATGTGTTAATTCCTGCCATACAAGTTTGTGTCATTTGGTCGAATTGGTTCATTTCATTTTATTCCCCTACTTGTAATGTTCACTATTAAAACATAAAGATCCTCAAAATTTACATTTAGTTGTTAATTTTTATTGGAATAGAGTTGAAATAAAGTTTGCAAGACTAGTTTCATGTGTTTTAGTGTTTGGTACATATTTTAATTCAAGAGACAACAAGTCTACACCTAGGCGAAGCAGGAATAATTTGTTTTTATTAATCAGGATTTAATCAAATTAATTGTTTAAGATGCATATTAATGTAGAAATTATGACAGGTTTTAAGCTCTGATACTTGTAATATTCTTGAGGAATGCTCTTTGTTGATTTACTTTTAACTCACATACTGTACAGAAACAGTATTTTGGTAGTCAACCAATTTAAGAATAGGAGTTTTCATACATTGTATTTGAGAAATGTGAAGGGGTGTAAATAAAATGATATAGCATATTTTAATGCCATACAAAGACTGGAAATGATTGTTTTTTATAAATTAATAAAAATATTCTCTAAGAAAACATAAACCAGACAGAAATGTTTATTCAAAATAATAAACCACTCCTATTTGTCACTTATACCTAAGAAAGAAATTCAGATTATTTAAATCTATGGACATATGTACACAAGAACAGAGAAGAAAGGTTGTCTTTAATATCAAAACACAAATTAAAACATACAATATTCATGTGTAAGAGTCTCATAAACTTTCCATGAAAGGAGAAGTTTGCACACATTAAACAACCAGTCATAGAGAAGCTTGTCTCAAATTGTGATATTTTCTGTTAAGTAGAGTTATAACTTTAAGGAGCTAGCCACCAGGTTATGTTTGAAAGAGAGGATTGTCCATGATTTTAGCTGTTATATTATATAAAAACGCACAGGATAGGACTGTATGATATTAACCATGGAGTGCGACTGTGTGTCTATCAAACTATGTAAATATTAACATGTTTAAATAAACAGTTTTGATAAAGATAAGACTTTTCCTCCGAGTCTTAGTTACACAATTAATTTCTCATTTTCATAGTTCACTGACTAGAAGTTCTTTATTCATAACAAGGTTGTCCTGTCTACTCTGGTATGTCTCACCCTTTGCCGCTGCCTTGCTAATTTGAATGTCCGTTACAGTTAAACTCTCGCCCTTGCCACTGCCTTGGCTAATTTCTCATGTAGTTTATAATCAAACTCTCACCCATTGAAACTGCCTTGGCTAATTTCATCTGTAGTTTATTGTTAAAACCTAAACTTTAGCCTTGGCTAATTCCTTCTGTAGTTTATTGATAAACCTTCAACTTTTTCCACTGCCTTCGCTAATTTCTTCTGTAGTTTATAGTTGTATCCTAACTATATGCCACTGCAGTGGCTAATTCCTGACATTACTGTTATGGTAATTGTGAATGGAATTCTACATCTTCTATATAAATCAGTGCTTACATGTGACATGTTAATATGTTATGTTAAAACAAGGAGGCATTCCACTGCCTTGGTTAATTTCTCCTCTTAGTTTTATTAGGAATGCAGTAGAAGGAGTTATAACATTTTTATAACCACTCAATGCCTATATCGAAAAGCACATGTAGGTGAATATGCTTTGAAAACTGTTGAAATGAGATACATGTAGGTGTCGTACATGTATGCCACTGCCCTGGCTAATTTCTACTTCTAGCATAACAGTTGTAAAAATGTAACTACATGTAAGGTCATTTGAATGCGACAGAATTTTATCAAAGCTTATTTACACTACTGTCAAATTTTTGATGTTTTTAATATGAATGTTTGCTGTTTTAAATTGATAAATTATTATAGACATAACTTCATGATAAACAAACATACAGAAATATCATCCAGTCCATTATATAGGCTGGAACGGTCAATAATAATAATAATCCCTGTAGGTCATGTCTTAATTACCGACATCCAGTAATTAAAACTGTATTATCTAACAGGTATATTACCTAAGGATAAGTTTCACCTGTAAAATAAATACAATTAATCTCTTGTTGATGAATTAAATGAAATGGGGTTTAACATCCTACTGTTCTGCTCCGATTGGGCTAATAGAGACAGGCACACATCATACAGTGTGATATGAGGGAAATTTTGCCCAGACAGCGGCGCTACGGCCTACTCTAATATCAAATTCTAAATGTCAAGGGATCTTTTATGTGCATGCCAATGTGTACACAGGGCCTCATTTTTTTTGTCCCATTCGAACAACTATATACATTGTCCCTTGCCAGGCCTTCCATCCTGCACCACTGACAAGGTTAGTCCCGAAATGACCTAGTTTGTGTTGATTGGTCATTAAACCCATCTCTCTCTCTCTCTCTCTCTCTCTCTCTCTCTCTCTTTTGTTCAGCCATCTTGAAATAGTGGCATTGTATCAAAAATCGAAGTCTGCCAATCGGTGTTAAATTGTCCAAGGAAAAACATGCCAAGTTTCATGTCGATCATAAGTGGTGGAGCTACTGGCTGTTTTCTTAGAATGTCGCCCCTCAAGAACAAGAATAACAACAACATGCATCTGTATTTCATTTAAATTTTATTTTGGATCGGCCAAAATATTGCGTTGACATTTTCTATGAACAATAACCAGAAATAGACATCGCCATCACGGAACCCAGGAAATTATAAATTATTTTTCTATATAATTCAAAAGAATTAAATTCACCTTCATAAAACATTTCTCAGAACATTGACATGAGATTCCTTAATACTAGGCAGTAATTTAAAGGTGAGCCACACTGAACGCCTAAACACATCAAAGAATGTTAGTAATTATAAACCATTTTCTATAAAATTTGAAAGAATTGAATTTCATTTGATAAAAGATTTGTCAATCCACGGCCTGTTTTGAGTAATTTAGACTTAATAGATTTTACAGTGCATTTCTATGTTACGAAAACTGATTTTAAAAAAAAAATTAATCTTTCGTGGGGAGTTAAAATTTAGATTAAAAATTTCCCACACCCTTATCACAACATGTTGGTGGAGAAATGTGGAGTTGTTTATTAGTGTTAGAATTTATTTGTGATGTCAGAAAGATATTTATTTTTGATGGGGTGGGTTGGTCGTGCTGAGAGATTTGTGTTTTCGTAATGCTGTGAAGAATTTAATTCTAATTTTATTTGGTCTTGTCTCTCATTTGTTGTATTACACGCACCATGTTCCGTCAAAAGTCTTTGAGTTTATATTCATCCAGTCCAAAATATTGTCCAAAATATTGAATATCTTTCTGCAAGTTCTAGGGGTGCAAAATTTGCGGTGGTGGGAAAGGTATGATTGTGCATGTATGTATGTACAAATGTAAGAAGGGTACATCTTTAACTCATATACATTCAAATTCAAAAATTAAATGAAATGAAATGTGGTTTAACGTCTTACTGTTCTGCCTATGAAATATTTCAAGCTACACAAATTATAGAATTTTATTTACCTAATTAATATGTACACCTACATTTAGGATTTTTAGTTTTACTAATGTATACGAATTCTATTTTTGATAAGCATGGTATACGAGAAATTTATTGCCTGGTTTTATTGACGAAATGTTTGACCAGAATACAGGAAACATGTATTTCTCAAAGTTTTAATTCTATCAGTTTTACTGTGGTATACGAGATCTAATCTGATGATACCATGGTATACAGAGTATTATTGCCTGGTTTTCTAGATGAAATGTTTGACTGTAATACA